ACACCCACACCCACACACCCACACCCACACACCCCACACCCACATCCACACCCACATCCACATCCACACCCACACACCCACACCCACACACCCCACACCCATACCCGCACATCCACACAGCCACAGCCACACCCACACCCTCAGAACAGAGAATAGAAACTTATTAATGATATATAACCAAAAGTTATTTGATTCTTTCTTATATCTATTTACATAAAAGAATAAATTATAAATATGACAAGATAATTTTTCTGTCGACAATAAAAAATATTAACATCGTTGGTAATATTTGATCGTTTAACATGTATCAGGGTTAACTTTATTAAAGTAAAAGATTTTCATGAAAGTACTAAAAATTTAAAAATTCATTTGTATTTAATGATTCATTTAGATTGCTGATCTACAAACTATATGAAATCTTAATTAATAACATCAAAAAAATTGCAGTAAGCTCCAGAAAAAATACGTCGAGCTATGCATAAATAAAAATGAAAAATCTATGGAGAAAAAATCAACTACTACTTTGAATCATAGAGATAAACGATACTATCATATAAAGGATAGCTGATTGAATAGACAATTCAACGAAACAAATGAAGAAGTTGACATATATGATATAAAAATAATAGAAAAGGAAAAAATATAAATTACAACATGTGTATAAACGATTGGATCATTAAAATAATTCCTGACGAACCTGAATATATTCTGAGAATACCGATGTGAAAAACAATATAAAAATTATTCAGAACTAGAACACTTCATAATGTTAATTATTCTGAAAAGATGATCACTTACAATTTCATCTAATGTAGGATAAATGAATATCATAAAAATGCGCTTACTATTATTTGAATATTTCCACCATAAAATTTTTCTTTTTTATGCTTCTCTCGGGACGAAATATTATCTTGAGTGCCCTATAAAACTCCGTTACGACATATTGCCAAAAAAAACCAAGTAATAAATCATGTGCTTCGTCGTATCAAATCAATGAATGGAAAATGTACAAAATTAACTGCATGATAAAAGAGTGAAGAAAAAAAATGAGATGAAAATATTCTTAATATTGACACATGACGAATTTATAAAATTTGCAAATAATTTGTTGATATTTCAAAATCTTTTCGATCATAAAACGATATATGAATTAAAAATGTTTCATACCCATACACCCACACTCACCTAGGCATGCACCAAACCCAAACCGTTTGGGTTTGGTGACTTTGAGTTTCAATTTGATGATGGGCCATGTATTTAAGCTTCTGATATACGGCTATTGACAAAACTCAAACTCGAACTCATACTCAAACCCAAACCCAAACCCAAACTCAGACCTAATACTCAAAGCATAAAAATGGAAATGGTTTAGGGCTAATGATGCATATTTGCGACATCGAATCCAAAACCATACTCAAACCTATACCCAAACCCAAACCCATACTCAAACTTATACCCAAACCCAAAGCCAAACCCAAACTCAATACCCAAACTCAATACTCAAACCCAAACTCCCAAATAGTTTGGGTTTGGTGCATGCCTACACTCACCCACACCCACACCCACACCCCACCCCACACCCACACAACCACACCCACACCCAAGACCAATCAGAGAGGAACCAAGCGTGACACTCAACATTAGTAGATGGATTGTTTTTTCCAACTTCATACGGGAGAGGAGAACAAAACAAAAGTTTTTTTGCGATGACATGTGCACTTAACTTCCTAAAAATAGACTAATGAGTCATTGGAAGAAACTTAGTTGCTGCTTCCTAGGCAGTAAACGATGAGTATAGTAAATATAAAAACGCGCAGACAGGAGACATAGCAGCAGAAAATTGAAATTGCAAATGGCACTTTTTCAACGGAACCAGTTTGGTTTCAAACGAACAGGGTCATCCATTACAGTTCCAAACAACGATGTGGCTCACCTTATGTATTATTTTAATGCTGTATGCTACTGTATTGACTATAATGATAGTGATGTTAGTCGTTATCGAAATTTTCAAAATTGGGCATCTTTATCTTATAATGAGATACGTGTTTTACTTGCTTTATGTTTAACCATCAGTCCTAATGTACTTAACAATAAAGTATTCTTTAATTCTGACTCTTTATGTGGAAATAATGCAAATGAATTCTTCGAGGTCAGTCAGATTAGTCATCAATTAATGGCTGTACAATCAATTGTTATTGCCGGTCGGACATGTCGAGTCACCAGAATTATGACATATAAAATGTCTTGGATGCATGAGCATTATATCAATCCAATTCAACGACTTGCACGACAATATAATACAAATACAGCACAGTCATCATCATGTGTTATCTCATAAAGAAATTCGCAACCTTTGCAAATAAGCGTCATTTACAGAAAAGAAAAGAAATGAAAGATTTATTCTTAATAAAAATACTGTTCATCAATCTTAGATGAGCAACTAAAAAAGGACGTTGATATCCAAGCAAAACTGCGAATAGATCAGTCTATGGTAAAACTCGATTGAAAGGAGAAAAAACTGTCGGTATTGCTCAACCTCTGACAAACTCGGAAAGGAAGCAGTTCTGATTTTATTATTCACATTAAGTGAAATCAATGAAGGTACTTCGAATCGGTGATTTCAAAGAGAGATAACTTACTCGATTTATTGTAATCATCATAAAATGTCAGTATGAGTTATTGTGAATGAGAGTGAATTGGAGATTGAAGATGTGTGGGTAAGGGAGACTAGGATGTGAATTAAGGCCCCCCCCCCCCCCCCCTCAGAAATGATTTTCCACTTAGAATGATCCTTTTGCGCTGAAATTTCCAGGGATGAGTGATCCTGGAGAGATGGGCTTTCGGTAAAAATTTCAGCTCAATTGACCATACTAGACCGGAGTTCCAGCTGATTCATAGGTCATTTTTGGCCTTCAGGAGAATCTACAAAACTTCGTCATCAAATGAGATAGAGAGCTCGGGCTAGTTTCAAATTAAACCTGATGTCAGTACGCAACTTTTGTCCGAACAGAATTTTTATATTCCTTATTGTTCATTTTTATGAACATTTTAGTGCGAGCGTCTAAAAATTGGCATAAAAAATGGTAGTCCAACGACAGTAAATTCCACTTTTCTCAGCCCAGGAGCCAACTTTCAAAAATCCGTTCGGACAAAAGTTTGCTCTGATCGAAACCTTTAAAACAAAAAAAAATATCCATAATAGCTCAAAAAATGAGGGAAGAGTTCCAATTTTTCTGATTAGAAATCGTGTTCTGAGAAAAATCTTAAAGAAGTTTTAGAAGTGGTTTTTTTCGGTCAAATTCAAAAAACTCATACAAAAATGGCATATTTTCAATAAATTTTCTAAAACTATCTTAAGGCCCGTAAAAGATGCAGTGAAACTAACGTCATCTGACATACGGGTTAATATCAAAATGTGCTATTAAATGATAATTGATGTCGTAACAGAGTTTTTCCAAAACTGAAAAAATTTTAAAAGTGAAAGAAATGTATGTTGCGTTCCCGTTCCCAGGAACGGGAACGGAGTGGCGTTCCCCGTTCCCAGGAACGGAAACGGGGTGGCGTTTCCCGTTCCCAGGAACGGGAACGGGGTGGCGTTCCCCATTCCCAGGAACGGGAACGGGGTGGCGTTCCCGTTCCTAGGAACGGAACGCAAAAGTGACACCCCTAATTCATACTCTTCAGGTATCGTCGTTTAATTTGATAAGAAAGAAAACTTGCTCACTTTTATTTGCAATTTCTCACTGAATAACATGCATAAAAAATGATTTGTTACTCGATCTAATCGTGCATATTGACCACCGAAGACATGAATAATATGGGCAGTATTGATCGCTGTTGGCAACAGTCTAAAGAAACAGTTCGACTCAACGACTAGCTGAATAGATGATAATGTTAACATACTGCTTTTTCTTCTGAATATCGCTGACGAGGCAAAAATGCAAAAAAAAATGAATTGAAGTTCAAAGGAAGTTGAGTTTTTTAATCGATTTAAAACCTCAATGGCAAACATGTTTTACCCTTTCGTGTCATGAAACTAAGAAGTAATTTCATGTTCATGTAAAGTAAGGATCTGCAGAATTTGGAATTCAAATAAGGATCCCTAGAACAAGATTGATTAATCATAGGGTTTTACATAACTTGGGTTTCGCGTGAGTATTTAATTTATACTCAAACTTCACAAAGTAATGCAAAAATATGGAGGAAAATATGCGGTGTGGGTGTGCGTGTGAATCTTCTATTGTCTCACATCCACATCTGATGGGTGTTGGTGTGGGGTGTGGGTGAGTGTGGGGTGTGGGTGGGTGTGGGGTGTG